TTAAAGGATTTGTTTAGATACTCCAGAATTCATATTTATATCATAGAATTACATGGGTGTATATTTTTCCGACTTGCCCTCCCCCCTGTTACTTATTATCGCAAAAATTAATTTATTTTCTCCTTGAAAATCATTTATTTTTCCAGTTTAGCGAGAGAAAAAAGTATTTGCGCTTGTATAACTTACAGGGGAAAAAATAACTTTCCTAAAGGGGGGGGGAAGAAAAATTATTTTTCGGGAAAATATAAACCCCTGGATAGTTGCGCAGTTTCTAAATTTTCAATATTTTGTCCAGATTCCAATATTTCCGACGGGATGCAGATGAGCTTGAGAGCTGGATCCATGAGAAACTCCAGGTAGAACTTGAATTTAAGGGGGGGGGGGTAGTTACGTATTTCTCATGTTCCACCCTATCTTAAAAATGTTCCCCGTTGATGAGGTGTTTTTTCGTTGATCTTCTGATGAAAATTCTTAAATTTCAAACTATATTCTGTAAAAGTTTGCTTATATTAAACTTTGCATTATTTTTATCAAGAGAAAAGGTTAAAAACAAACCCTAAAATAATCGTTTCAACATATTCTTGTTTGGTCCATATTTTCACTCAAGGGTATATTATGGTAGTATGGTATAGTAGTATAGTGGTATGGTATAGTAGTATAGTGGTATGGTATAGTAGTATAGTGGTATGGTAGTAGTAGTATGGTATAGTGCATGTAAGAAAAGCAAACGTTAAAATTTGAACGATTTTAAAATCAGTAAAACCTTCAAATATTTTGTGAGATCTTTTAAAAGGTCAACAACCCTAAGAAACGAATCAACACCTCCTTTAATTATAATTAATCTTAAGATGCACAAAAAAGTTTAAAAAAATAAAACATTGTTTTAAATCAAAATGTGTTCCCTTGTTTAGTTTTTACCAGGTAGTAAGAAATAGAAGGGAGATATAGCTGACGCGGCCCGTCCTACCATATGATTATTTATGCTTTGCAGACGGTACTCCATTTGAATAAGAAATATTTGTATGTACAATTACCGCGAATACAAAAACCTATTCTGAATATTTCTTATACAAATGGAATACCGTCTGCAAAGCATAAATAATCATATGGTAGGACAGGCCGCGTCAGCTATATCTCCCTTCTCTTTCTTACTCCCTGGTTTTAACCCACTCATTGTGTCGAAATAAATTGATAATATTGTTGTCTCCAGTCTGCGAGCGATGAGAGTTACAAGGATCCCACCAACCTCCAGGCTAAAATACAGAAGCACCAGGCCTTTGAGGCCGAGGTCGCTGCACACAGCAACGCTATCGTTGTCCTTGATAATACAGGTATTATAGTCGTTTTAGCTTAATATCTCATAAGTTAGGATCAATGCAAATCGTGTTTAAATAAGTCTGAATGAGTTTATTTAGCAGTACGGGGTTTGTGTGCTCACAGGATCCAGTTAATTTTAATGCGGATCTGGACTTCAGGATCAGCCCTGTTAAAAATGTTAAAACATATTTTGCGGATCCCGATCCAGGAAGCCAAGCATTGGTAGATAGACTCAAGGGTTCATGACAGTGCCACCTTTAATGGGTCGTAGGAGTGGTTTTTTGCGTTTAACTATATCTTCACGGTTTAATTAATTCTACGCGGTTCAACTAAATCTACGCGGTTTAACTATATCTACACGGTTTAATTAAGTCTACGTGGTTCAACTTAATCTACGCGGTTTAACTTTGTCTCGCAATTCATTAAATCTGGTCCCATGAACCCTAATATCTTTACTGCAGTACACTTTGTCATTAAACAAAGATATGCATGGAGGTTCCTGATGCATCTTCTTTGCGTTAAATTATGTTTTTTTCAAATCAAGACTTGTTTAATGTTATTGTTTAATCACATGAGGGTGTGGAGCAAAACATCCTACTTAAAGTGAGTGTAAATGAACTTCCATGCAAATATGTTAATACCCTATTCAAAACAACCCTTGAAACCATTATGTGAAAAAATGTGGAAAATATTTTAGTTTTTCTAGGGTTCACTTGAAGTTACGCGTACAGTCCCTTTAAATTACAAGTACAGTCCCTTTAAATTACAAGTATAGTCCCTTTAAATTACGCGTACAGTTCCTTTAAATTACAAGTACAGTTCCTTTAAATTACAAGTACAGTTCCTTTAAATTACGCGTACAGTCCCTTTAAATTACGCGTACAGTCCCTTTAAATTTAGCGTACAGTCCCTTTAAATTTAGCGTACAGTCCCTTTACATTTAGCGTACAGTCCCTTTAAATTACTCTTCAGTCCCTTTAAATTTAGTGTATAGTCCCTTTAAGTTGAAACTCTTTATTTTTTAATCCGAATTTTGATCCTGTCGCTTGACATTTCTTTTCAGAAAATATTTATTCATGCCAACTCTTGAAAGTGCTGATTATTAAAACTAAAAAGCTTGAAAACCAAGTGTTTTACAATTCAAAGCGTTTTCCTAGATGAGAATGAGAATATGTGCGACAAACTAGACCAGACAAAGGTTTTAAGGGTGCAGTTGTGAATCAGGCATTGTCATACGTGAAATTACACCTGAGTTCCTTTAAATGAAAACTCTTTATTTTTAAAATCTGAATTTTATAGACTATGGGCTCTGCTGTTGAGTAAGCTGGCCGATAAGGGAATGAGGTTGCAACAGGCTCTGGTCCTAGTCCAGTTCCTCAGACAGGTCGACGAGGTCATGTTCTGGATCTCAGACAAGGAGACGTTTGTCACCGCCGACGAATTCGGTCACGACCTCGAACATGTTGAGGTAGATTTTTTTAACGAATTTTTTTCTATAAACTAATTCAGATTATACTTTAAATCGGTTAAATTATCTTTTCTTTTCATGGAAATCAAGCTAGTGCAATTTTTATTAAATGTACTATTATTATTTTAAGAATCGTTGATGAAAATTTTGATTACAGGGAAATAAATCCCTAACTTATTTAATTGCTATTTCGGTTATAAAAAAAATAACTTTTTTAACAGATTTCGCTGATTTTCGTAATTTCATTTGTGAATTTGTATCCAGGTTCTGCAGCGGAAGTTTGATGAGTTCCAGAAGGACATGGGGAGCCAGGAGTTCCGTGTGTCTGAGGTGTGCGAGACAGCTGACAAGCTCTCCAACGATCAGCATCCAGAGTCAGATACTATCACCAGTAAGTTTCTATATCTTGTTCGTTATAGTACAATTTTACTGTTCTTAAACAAAAATAATTGTGAAAAATATAAATCCTTAGATAATTGGAATTTCACAGTACTTCTAACCATAGATGTCAACAAATGATTATAGATAAAAAATCAAATTTAATTTTTCTTAGATTTTCGTATGTTACAGGTTCTTTTGCGGTTATTTTTATAGATTTTTATTGCTTTTGTTAAAGTGAAGAAAACTGAGCTTCTCGAAGCCTGGGCTCGCCTTAAATCCCTGGCAATCGCTCGTCAACAGAAACTTCTCGGAGCTCACGAGATTCAGAGATTCAATAGGTATCATAATTTTACGAGGAGGGTTCCTGATCACATGTTTTGGTGTGCTCTGATTGCGTGTTTTTTTGTGTTCTTGTCACGGTTTGTATGTGTTCTTACCACGTGTTTTATATGTTCTAACCACGTGTTGTATATGTTCTAACCACGTGTTGTATATGTTCTAACCACGTGTTGTATATGTTCTAACCACGTGTTGTATATGTCGTGTTGTATATGTTCTAACCACGTTTTGTAAATGTTCTAACCACGTGCTGTATATGTTCTAACCACGTGTTGTATATGTTCTAACCACGTGTTGTATATGTTCTAACCACGTGTTGTATATGTTCTAACCACGTGTTGTATATGCTCTAATCACGTGTTGTATATGTTCTAACCACGTTTTGTAAATGTTCTAACCACGTGCTGTATATGTTCTAATCACGTGTTGTATATGTTCTAACCATGTGTTGAATATGTTCTAACCACGTGTTGTTTATGTTCTAACCTCCTGTTGTATATATTCTATCCATGTGTTGTATATGCTCTAATCACGTGTTATAAATGTTCTAACCACGTGTTGTATATGTTCTAATCACGTGTTGTCTATGTTCTAATCACGTGTTATATATGTTCTAACCACGTGTTGTATATGTTCTAATCACGTGTTGTATATGTTCTAATCACGTGTGGTATATGTTCTAATCACGTGTTGTATAGGTTCTAATAACGTGTTGAAGATGCTCTAACAAGTGTTGTTTATTTTCTAACCACGTGATGTTAAGGGATGCTGATGAAACCATCTCCTGGATAAGTGAGAAGGATGCAGTCCTCTCTACTGAGGATTTTGGGAAGGATCTCGCTAGTGTTCAAACCCTGCAGAGGAAACACGAGGGGATAGAGAGAGATCTAGCTGCTCTAGAGGTAGCAATTCATCTTATTGCTTGATTTGATTGAGAATTGATCAATCTCGGAGTTAAAATTGATTAGAATTGATCTGGGATCAATTTGATTCATCTTGGGGATAAGGTTTTATTAGGAATTATTAATCTAAGAGTTGTGAGTGATCAGATAAAAATTGTGCTAATAATAAATTGAAATCTATTTTTCATTATATTTTTCATAATATTTTTAATCCTTGTTTTGAAGAATATTTATTTCGTTTTTAATTATGTTATTAGAAAGCTGTGGTTCTACTGAAGCAAAACTTGACCACAATTGATTATAAAGAATATTACGTGATTGCTTCATGAAAGCTTAAAACAATTGTGTCATATTCAAGATTTTGTTGATACTTCAATGAAACTTAAATGATTTTCCTAAACATATTATTGTAAAGGACCGTGTGCGCACAATCGGGCAAGAAGCTGCTCGTCTTTGTGAGATTCATCCTGAGCATGCTGCACAGATTCAGGTACAGTACATATAGTTCAGTAAGTTCAGTACATGCTGCACAGATTCAGGTATAGTGCATATATTTCAGTAAGTTCAGTGCTGCGCAAATTCAGGTACAGTACAGTACATGCTTCACAGATACTGGTACAGTACATAGTTCATTAATTACATTACATGCTTTACATATACTGGTTCAGTACAGTACATAGTTCATTAAGTATAGTACATGTTACACAGGTACTGGTACAGTACAGTACACAGTTCATTAAGTACAGTACAGTACGGAACATTACAATACAGTACATTACGGAACAGTACAGTATGGAACAGTAAAGTATCGAACAGTACAGTACTGAACAGTACAGTACGGAACAGTACTTACATTACGTACAGTACAGTGCAGTGCAGTACAGTACAGTACAGTACAGTACAGTACAGTACAGTACAGTACAGTACAGTACAGTACAGTACAGTACAGTACAGTACAGTACAGTACTTACATTACGTACAGTACAGTACAGTACAGTACAGTACAGTACAGTACAGTACAGTACAGTACAGTACAGTACAGTACAGTACAGTACAGTACAGTACAGTACAGTACAGTACAGTTCGGTACAGTGCAGTTCGATACTGTACAGTTCGATACTGTACAGTTCGGTAAAGTACGGTACAGTACAGAGCACACAGTTTCCGTTCGTTGCGTAGTTAAAAGTCGAAACTTCGGCACAATATTCTTTTTGTCTAGATTTTTGTAGATAAATTTTTCATGGTCATAGTCAGTATTGCTTTAAGTGTTTGATGTGTTCTTTAAACTTGAGTCTAAACTTTCAACGATAGTAGATGTAAAAGGGGCAGGAGGTCTAAAGAGAAATATGCCCAGAATGATAATTCATATTACAAAAGGAAAATATTCAATGTTTGTACTCTTACCCTCTCCCCCCCTCACTCTGCAAATTGAAATTTAATCTACATAGACTCGAGATTAAATTCTAAACACACATTTTAGAATATTCATGAGTTAGTGGGGGGTGGGGTGGGGGAGATAATATGCTATTTAAGCAATGAGCTATTGAGTTTATTTCAAAGTTTTAACACATGCCAATAAGCATTTAACTTAAATGTCTGGGGAATATCAATGTAATAATATGAAAAACTTAAACATAAAGGTCGGGGCTCAAATATTACAACTTCATTTTTATCCTTATAAATGAATAATTCCTTGTTATTGTTCATTTATTGGAACATTAGTTCATTTTTTCATTTCATTCAGAATACTTTTTATATTTCAAGAAACGAAATGTTCACTTTCTAAGATACTCTTTTAGGGCTCTCTCTGTGACCATCTTCTCTTTTTGCAATAAAAAAAGTATCAAAAAAGATCGCGGATTTAATGATATTTTTTTTGCACATTGTTAGCCAAAATCAAAAACTTTTAAGACATAGTTTTTTTGTAATTTTGGGCTTCCATAAACTTTCCCTGGAGTCATGTGAGGTCCCACACAAAATTTGGGCACGATTGGTTCAGCCGTTTATTAGATACACACAGACAGACAAGCAAAGTATATATTTAGAAGAAAAAGATACAAGATAAGATTTCATTTTATTATGATTTGTACAATTTAACATGTTGTTTGTTAATTGTTCAAAAAGAATTGATAATTTTGAAAACTTCTTTTTTCAATTTTTTTGTTTTTTTTAGGCCAAGCATAAGGATATTGAGGCGAACTGGGAAAGCCTGACTGAGAAGGCGAGGCAGAGAAAGCTTAAATTAGATGAGAGCTACTACCTTCACAGGTGATCATCTATTTATTTTTGATTCAATTCAGAATTTGAATTTTATTTTTGTACAAAAATTGGGACTAATATTGTAGATACTTAAGAGGTATTTTAGAAGGCTAAATAAATTGGTAAGTATTTCAAAGAAAATGCTTGCTTTTTTGTTACGATTTAAGAGCTTTTTTATTTTAAAGTAAAAATCATGATGGAAACAATAAACAAATGATGGCCATAATGTTATTTTTTTCTCAGGTTTTTGGCAGATTTCCGTGATCTCACTTCCTGGATTAATGAAATCAAGAACGTCATCACTGCTGATGATCTAGCTAAAAATGTGTCTGGAGCTGAGGCACTTCTTGAGCGCCATGCTGAACACAAATCTGAAATTGATGCACGTGAGGATAGTTTCCGAGCTACTGCTGAGTCCGGAGAAATGCTGCTTGAATCTAATCACTATGCAAGTGATGAGGTTACTGAAAAGCTCAGTGTTCTCGCTGCTGAGAAAAACGCACTCCTCCAGCTGTGGGAGGAGAGAAGGATCCTGTATGAGCAGTGTATGGATCTGCAACTGTTCTACAGGGATACAGAGCAAGCAGACACCTGGATGGCCAAACAGGAGTCCTTCTTGGTGAACCAGGATCTAGGAGACTCCCTGGACTCGGTTGAGGCCTTGATCAAGAAGCATGAAGACTTTGAAAAGAGTTTAGCTGCTCAGGAGGAGAAGATCAAGGCTCTTGATGAGTTTGCCACTAAGCTGATTGAAGGTCAGCATTATGCTGCTGAAGATGTGGCTGAGCGACGTGCTTTGTTGCTGGAAAGAAGGTCTGAACTTCTGGAGAAGTCCGCAGTCCGTAGAACCATGCTGGAGGATTCATACAAGTTCCAACAGTTTGAGAGAGATTGTGACGAAACCAAGGGTTGGATTAATGAGAAACTAAAGGTTGCCACTGATGACAGCTATCTTGACCCCACCAATCTCAACGGTAAGGTGCAAAAGCATCAGAACTTTGAACAGGAACTATCTGCCAACAAGTCTAGGATTGATGAAGTCCTTGAGACTGGAGCCGATCTCATTGAATCCGGACATATACAGTCCGAGCGTGTGAAGGAGAAGACTGACGAGATCTCCCAACTGTGGGAGGATCTGGTCAAAGCCTCTGAGAAGAAGGGAATGCGTCTAGGTGAGGCTAGCCAGCAGCAGCAGTATAACAGGGGGAATGAGGATCTTGAGATTTGGCTGAGCGAAATAGAGGGTCAGCTTATCTCTGATGATTACGGCAAGGATCTGACCAGCGTACAGAACTTGCAGAAAAAGCATGCTCTTCTTGAAGCTGATGTGGGGGCTCATCAGGATCGTGTGGATGGTGTTAGAATTGCATCTGAGCAGTTCTGTGAGGCCGGTCACTTTGATGCTGAGAACATCAAGAGTAAATATGAAGGTCTTGATGCAAGGTATCGGAACCTTATGAAGCCAATGTCCAACAGGAAGACCAGGTTAATGGATTCCTTGGATGTTCAGCAGCTGTTCAGGGATGTGGAGGACGAGGAAGCCTGGATCAGGGAGAAGGAACCAATCATCAATTCTACCAACAGAGGCAGGGACCTTATTGGAGTCCAGAACTTGATCAAGAAGCACCAGGCATCCATGGCTGAGATTAACAACCATGAGCCAAGGATTGATGTTGTGTCCAGGTCTGCCCAAGGTATGGTGGAACAGGGTCATTTTGCATCAGAGGATATCAAAACTCGTCTCAGCACACTTCATGATCACTGGAACATCCTGAAGGAGAAGGCAAGTCAGAGAAAGCAGGATCTTGAAGACTCCCTGCAGGCTCATCAGTACTTTGCAGATGCTGGGGAGGCTGAGTCCTGGATGAGGGAGAAGGAACCCCTTGCTGGCAACGCTGATTATGGCAAGGATGAGGATGCCTCTGAGGCATTGTTAAAGAAGCAGGAGGCACTTATGTCTGATCTTGAGGCCTTCAAGAATACAATAAATGACTTGAAGGAGCAGGCAGCTGGTTGTCGTCAACAGGAGACTCCCGTCATTGATATGATTGGTAAAGAGTGTGTGATGGCTCTGTATGATTACACTGAAAAATCTCCCCGTGAGGTTTCAATGAAGAAAGGAGATGTTCTCACCCTATTGAACTCCAACAACAAGGACTGGTGGAAGGTGGAGGTCAATGACCGCCAGGGATTTGTTCCTGCCGCCTATGTCAAGAAAATTGACCCTGGACTAACTGCATCCCAACAGCAGCTGGTGGCAAGCAGTTCTGTGAGTGCACGTCAATCCCAGATTGAGAAGCTGTACGAAAACTTGTTGGAGCTTGGAAACATCCGTAGAAAGAGGTTGGATGAGACCTGCAAGGCTTATCAGCTTGTTAGGGAAGCCCAAGAGTTGTCCAACTGGATCAAGACGAAGGAGCAGCATGCCACTATCCAGGATGTATCTGATGATCTAGAACAAGTTGAGGTCATGCAGAAGAAGTTTGATGACTTCCAGGCTGACCTTAAGGCCAACGAGGTTAGGTTGGCTGAGATGAATGAGATTGCCATGCAGTTGGTGTCCCTTGGACAAACTGAGGCCGCTATGAAGATTCAGGCCCAGCTCGAGGACCTTAACCAGAAGTGGACAAAGCTCCAGGAGGTGACCACTGAGCAGGCCAGCGCCTTCGAGAAAGCCCATGAGGTCCAGATGTTCCACAGGGATGTCGACGAGACAAGGGACTGGATCTCAGAGAAGGACGAGGCACTGAACAATGAGGATCTTGGAAAGGATCTGAGATCTGTCCAGGCACTTCAGCGTAAGCACGAGGGTCTTGAGCGAGACCTGGCTGCACTTGGAGACAAAATCAACCAACTGGATGATAAGGCGAGCAAGCTGATGCATACCCATAAAGATAGCTCAACGGTCATCTACGAGAAGCAGAAGGAGATCAACGAAGAATGGACTCATCTCAATGCCAAGGCTAACATGAGGAAGGTTAAGCTGCTGGACTCTTACGACCTCCAGAAGTTCCTGAGCGACTACAGGGACCTCATGTCTTGGGTCAGTAGCATGAAGTCCCTCATCTGTACAGATGAGCTTGCTACTGATGTTACTGGAGCAGAAGCACTGCTAGAGCGTCATAGTGAGCACAGAACTGAGATTGATGCACGCACCAATACCTTCCAGGTACATTTAAAGAACATTTATTTAGAATTAAACAGGGATGAATCTATTTAAAAATTATGATTCTTAAAGATGTGTGAAAAAAAATTGGACATCAAAAGACAATTTTATAAACCTTTTTTATAGTTCTTTCCCCAACAAATTTTTACTAAGCGATAAAACAAAAAAATTCTGGGGGTAATATTAATTTGAAATGAAGGGAAGGGAATGATTTTTAAGTTTATATACACCCATGGATTTTATGATATTTTTTGTTTTATACTTTTATATGAGTTCTTATTTTTTTTATTCCTTTGTTATCAACAAAAGACCTTGATATATTCTTCTTTGGAGACATTTCTTTTTTCTAGGCATTTGATTTGTTTGGTCAGCAGCTTCTCCAGGCAGACCACTTCGCTAGCTCCGAGGTTGAGGAGAGGCTGGAGGGTATGGCCGGGGCCAGGGAGGACCTGGAGAAGGCCTGGATAGCTCGCAGGATGCAGCTTGATCAGTGCCTGGAGCTTCAACTCTTCTACAGGTTCAGTCTAACTTTATTCTAAGATTTTTTGCATTTACAATTAATGTCTTTAACTTACTTGTTTTATTTATGAAAAAAATTATGTTGTTAAATAATAATAATGCATTTTTGGAAATCTAAAGGGAAAAAGATTTGTTTAACCCAAAACTTTTTTTTTAAATTCAAAATTCCAGTATTTTTCTAGAAAATATATACCCCTGTTATATTTGGAATATTTGCAGGGATTGTGAGCAGGCGGAGAACTGGATGAGCAACAGGGAGAGCTTCCTCCAGGCTGACGAGGTGGACTCCAAGGAGGAGAAGATCGAGATGATGATTAAGAAGCACGAAGACTTTGACAAGGCCATTGGGAACCAGGAGGAGAAGATTGAGGCTCTGCAGACCTATGCTGACCAGCTGGTTCAGTCCGAGCACTATGCCGGGCCTAATATTGAAGATAAGAAAAAAGAGGTAGGTTTTCATATCTACAAACATTATTTTTTGTCTGGCACACATTTTAATAATTAGTCCAAAATATTATCTTTATTTTTTTAACAACCTTCCTCATCCGAACTAGATCAAATAACAATTCCAACTGTGAAATTCAAGAAATTTTGTTATTTTTTAATTTTTATTTTTTTTGTATAATTTTTTTTATTTTAAGCTTTAAAATTTAGTTTTTTACATTTTAATGGCGTCTTTTACGAACATCTTCATCATGGTTTTGTTTGTCATGAAGATTTAGATTTAAATCTCTAAATTGCACTTTTTCTCGGTATTTTCTCGAATTATATATTTTATAACCTTTACTTTCAAATTCTTTTTAACAAGTAACAAAAATTTTTCAGATGTTTTATTTTTATTGTCAAGGTGCTTGAGAGATGGAGCAAGCTGAAGGACGCGTTGATCCAGAAGCGTGCTGAGCTGGGTGAGTCCCAGACCCTGCAGCAGTTCTCCAGGGACGCAGACGAGATTGAAACCTGGATGCTTGAGAAGTTACAGCTTGCACAGGAGGAGAACTATAAGGTATGGTTATCTACCTCCAAGCAAGAACCCCTAGCTTTTCCTTCTCATCATTTCCCCCCCCCCCCCC